GTGCAGATGGGGGAATCCTGCAAGGTGGGGTGACCTTGCCTGTTTCAGAAAGTCTCCTGTCTGAGGATCACCTTTTCCCCTTGTGGGTTGTACCAGAAGCAGCATGCTGTCTGCTCAGCAGCACGCAGGGTGCACCCATGCGTGTGGGGATGGACTTGTGAGGAGGAAAGGGGGCCTGAAGGTCAGGGTGCTGCCTGTACTTGCTTGCTGGGCCAGCTCGACCCACCCCCACATCAAGACAAGAAGGAAACACCCAACAGAAACTCCAGTTTAATCCACTTTTGTTCAAATCATGTGATGCTTGCTGTTCTCTCATTCATGTTTTATTTCTGTATATTTTGGGTGATGCCTACAGAAAGTACAAAGTTAATGTAATGTCATTATGATGATCTAACTAATCCAAAAAGTAAGTTCTGGTTACAGCGTTTGTATAATTTTCTTCCTGGTTTTACCTATGATTTCAGATAATCAGTGTATTTAATTGCCTCCAGCCCCTAGCCAAGTCATTTCCACACATACATTCTCAACATACACCTCTGACTTTTTATCTTTCCTGACCATGTTGCAGCAGAATCAGAAAACTCACTTCAACTGCTGACTGAGCCATAACACAGTCCTGTTACTGAAAACATTTGAAAATGTTCCAATTCTGTGAAATCAAAATAACAGTCCATCCCTTATATGTGAGTCATATATGCAATGTGTGTAGAAAGGGCCTAGTGGATCATCACAGCCCCTCTGAACATTATTATTAATTGCAGCAAGTATATTTATGAATGACGGTCCTGTCTGTACTTCTAAATGTAATCATTTGTTTTCCTAAAAAGATGCTGGGTCTTGATGCCCCAGGCACATATGCGATGTGCGCCTGCCTTGGCCACTGCCTGCCCCTGCAGCGGCGTCCGCTAGGGACTCTGCTCAGAACGGACTGGCAGAAGAAGCGTATTCCCCTGGTTCAAAAAGCAGCTGAGGGGTTTTTGAAAAAACTGTTGGCACAGGTGGAATACTTTTGATGGCACTGCTTCACTGACCTAGATAGAACTGCACGTGTGGGAAGCTGAGCGACTGTGCTCCGGGCCCTGCAGACGCTACTCCAGCCACTGGTCTTTACTCTCCCTTAATCCTGCTTGTCAGCAACAGATTGGTATGACTTTTGCTATAACATGTCCATTTATAATTTATCACCTGTCTACTTCCAAAAATGATTTCAAATAGCTTACAATATAAGTCCTACATACACACGGCTATCCAGACAGAAAATCAAAAACCTGAATTTATTCAAGAAGTCAGTCAATCGTTTTTCTGGAAATGTGTACCTCTACCAACTACTCATTCTTCCTTGCTTTTAGTCAACAACTCACTTTTAAAATGGGTTCAAATTCTCCTTTTTAAGCATTTTGAAATTATCACAGGAACAAAAATGTGTAAACATGTATTATGTTTTAAAATATATTCAGAATTGATGGCTGATGTGTCATTTCTTCCATATAAACTTTATAAAATACTCTTTTTGAAATATTTTAAGTAGCTTTTAACTTAAAATTGCAAATATGGTACAAAAAACTCCCATATACCCACTATCTTGCCATATATTACAGAATAATGATATCTATCTCTGTCCACATACAGATATGTGTGTGAAGTGGTCTCTAGCCACAATACAGATATGTGTGAAGTTATTTTATTCTAAACCCTTTGGCTTCCTTTGTAAGTTCACTTGGTAAAGAATACACCTGAAATGCAGGAGACCACCTGTACTGCAGGATTCTGGGTTTGCTCCTGGGTCTGGAAAACCTCCTGGAAAAGGGAATGACAACCCAACCCCAAGGACAGAGGAGCCTGGCAGACTACAGTCCATGGAGTCGCTAAGAGTCAGACACAACTAGGCGACTAAACCCTTTGTGAGCAAGTTGCAGATATTGTGACACGTTTCTTATAAAAATTTAGTGTGCATTTCTTAAAACAGAGCGGGTATATATTAAAAAAAAACAAAACAAAAACTAACATAGAGGCTGCAGGACCATATATCCTACAGAAATCACTGGAATTTCGACAATCTGCCAATAACAGTTTTTCCATCAGAAGGATTCCATCTATGATTGTGTCCCTTTGTTTTGTGAGGCATTTTTTTTTTTTGTCTGTAAGACTTTCTTAGTCTTTCTTTCCCTTTCATGAACTCAATACTTTTGAAAGATACAAGTCACTTTCTGTGTAGAATATATTTCAAAATCAATTTTTATTTTAGAAAATTAGAATTTAAATCTTTTTTTAAATTATAGTATATAAAACAATAAAAACTGCTCATGTGCATTATTTTTCTTTAATATTTTATAACTTAATCAAATGCACACTACAAAGGACTTTTTTGTAATTGTTTATGTAGGAGATTCTCATGCTTTTAGTATTATACATTAATATATATTAATAAATATGTATTATTATATATTAATATATTATTTATATATTTAAGCTGAGAGTACACTCAGACATAAGTTCAGAAAATGAGATTACAAAAGATTGGGAGTAGTTAAAAAACAAAACATACAGGGCTGGTGTGCAGTAACAAATTATGTGTTTCCCCTGCCGTAAGGCTTAGTGCAGGCAAACATGAAAATGAGTTCTCCAAAAAAAGATGAACACATTTTGGAAAAAAAAAAATGCTTTTTTAAAGCAACATAACTTCCAAAGAGAATGTCTGATGTTCTTCATGACTAGATTCAGGTGGTGATACATTTTTGGCAAAAATATCAAAATATGATGCTGTATTCTCCCATTGTTGTTCAGTCATTAAATCACGTTCTACTCTCTGTGACCCCATGGACTACAGCATGCCAGGTTCCCTTGTCCTTCACTGTCTCCTGGAGTTTGCTCAAACTCATGTCCATTGAGTTACTCATCTTCTGGTGTCATATGTTTTTGCCTTTTCACACTAGGATTCTCTAGTTCATAGTATTCTCCAGGCAAGAATATTGGAGCGGGCTCCTCCAGTGGACCACATTTTGCCAGAAATCTTCACTATGACTGGTTCATCACGGGTGGCCCAGCATAGCATGGCTCATAGCTTCTTTGAGTTATGCGAGCCCCTTCGCCACAAGGCTGTGATTAACAAACAGGGTATTCTCCCAAGGTTACTGTGTTTGCCCGCTCTCAGAGGTATGAGGGAGTTGACTCAGAGGCTTCCAGAATCTACTTCAGGGCATTTCCTCCCAAACTCAACTTTAGTGACATCATGCTGGGTGTTTGAAATCAGCCCTGGTGGAGAAGGGCTTACTGCTTCCCAGGTTGTGTTAGCAATAAAGAACCAGCCTCTAATGCAGGAGATGTAAGAGATGTAGGTTTGATCCCTGGGTTTGGAAGATTCCCTGGATGAGGACATGGCAACCCACTCTAGTATTCTTGCCTAGGAAATGCCATGGACAGACTGAAGAGACTTAGTATCCATGCATGGGAGAATTTACACCATGGCAGCTGCAATTCTAAGTCACATCACGCCTTTCTGTTCCTCTGCTTGCTTATTTCGAGAGCAGGCTTACCAGTATACCAGTGCATACCTTGTGCTGTTACTATAAATCTTGACATGGCTGTCTTAGGAAGGTGGTGTCTGCCAGGCTTCTCACTGTGAATGACTTCTTTCCTCCTTTGCAGCGAGTGCGTGAGGACAAGGTGAGGAGGTGCACGGAGACTGTGGCTGTCTGTCCTCATCAACCTCACATGCTACCTTCAGCCTCCACTGACCTCCCCACATGGACGTGTGTGTCCTAACGGCCACTAGTGGCAGCTGTGATTCCATCTCCTTCCCATTTGTTAGTTTAGATTTATTATAGTTTGGGAAGGCTTTCTCTCTTATTCCTTACACTCATGCATGTGTCTATGTATATCAGCGTGGATCCACATATTTCTATTTTGTACAAAATGGCTTATCATGCATGTTTTCTCTCCCAGAGCTTCAGAGTCAGTGGTTCTCCAAGAAATACTAGCGCCTTTAAGGGAGAATGGGACTTCAAGTGATTTCAGAAACACATAATTGGGTACTAGGTGGGTAACTCCTTGCTGAGGGGTTATTGTTTTACACCTCACAGGATACAGAGGTGGGAAATATGTACACACACACACACACACACACACACACACACACACACACACACTCTCACGTACTTCTATGTCTATAGCTATACAGTTGTACATAGGGCTTCCCAAGTGGCTCGGGGGTAAAGAACTTGCCTGCGAATGCAGGAGAGGTGGTTTCAATCCCTGGATTGGGAAGATCCCCTGGAGAAGGAAATGGCCACCCAGTCCAGAATTCTTCCTTGGGAAATTCCATGGACAGAGGAGCCTGGCAGGCTACAGTCCATGGGGTTGCAAAGATTTAGACATGACGTAGTGACTGGACAGGGATGCATAGCTATACGTATGAAGACCATGAGTTCACACCAGGGTGTCTAGCTCAAATCCATCACAAGCAGCTCCTCGCCAGCTCTCGCGTCCCTGTGTATCCAGCTCCCCACCCAGTCACGAGAAACCCTGTCCCCATCCTCCATATCTATGTCTGTTCTCAGGGTCCACATCTGCTCCCAGCTTTCCATCTGCATCCCCAGCTGCCTTGCTCCCCGGCCTCAGCGCTTGGTCCCCAACTGCATCAAACACTTCTAACGAGCGCAAGAGAAAAGGAAGTCACCCACCCCAAAGTTCGTTGTCCAAACCACCCCCACACAAAACTGACTTCAGTGAAGACACCCCGTTACATCCACAGGGTAATAACCCACGTTCTCCCCAGCGCAAAGCCCACCAGTGATCATCCATCAGCCTCCTGCTTGCGGGGGACAGTGCTTTTCCCTTCACTCTGGGGTCCGGTACTCTCCTTCCAAGCCTCCCAACTCTAGAGAAACTTGTTAGCACAGAGAAGAGTCTCCCAGGGAAAGGTCAGCACTGAGTGCTCCCCTGCAGTCCGTCATGGTGTGATGTCTCGGGTTCACAGACACTCGGGGACGGGGTCACCTCACCTGAAAAGCTCCCCAGCCTTGGCGCACTTGCGTCACCACCATCATAAATCTCCAGAGAGTCCCAGTTCTGCTCCGTGGCAAAGCTGATCACTTGAATCTACCAAACAAGTCAACATTTGTCCTTCACTTAATAAAATCAGACTGAAAACAGAATGGAAATGTATACGTAGTGTATATGTAAAATAGATAGCCAATGGGAATTTGCAGTATGACTCAGGGAACTCAAATTGGGGCTTTTTAACTATCTAGAAGGGTGGAGTGGGTGGAAGGTGGGAGGGAGGTTTAAGAGGAAGGGGATGTACGTATACCAATAGTGGATTCATGTTGATCTGTGCCAGAAGCCAGCACAATATTGTAAAGCAATTATCCTCCGATTAAAAATAAATTAATAAAATTAGACTAGTCCAACGGGGTTTTCAAGACATCAAAAATATACATGTTAGAGAAAGGCAAAACCAAAGAAATTAGCCATGGAAATGACATCCACAAAATTTCCACAAATGGCACTTTTGATAGATTTTATTCTAAAAGTCTATCACTTTAATTTCAAATGTAGACACACGATTAGAAACACTTGGTAGGAATGGTAAGAAAAGAGAAACAGGTTACGGTTTGTATATTTAGGATAACCAATACAAAAAGAGGGAGAGAAAGAAGGGAGAAGCCCATGGGCAGAGCTCTGTTTCTTAGGAGCCTCTGGGCTTTGCGAACATACCTGGATTCCTGACCCCTCTGTAACGATGATCTTCCATATGCAGTTTAAGTTGTTGCCATAGGGTTCAGGGTAGCCGGGGGATAAAATGGTACCTCTCCGCTGAGTGAAATTGCCACTGCAAGGGACTGAAAGCCAAACCCACAATTAGGATAAATAAAGTACAGTGAAGAACACCGATTCTGGACTCACTGCCCCTTCACTGTGTGATCAGCTATTAAGATGTCTTACATGGACTATGATGCTTTAAAAGGCATTTGTAGCCAAGGGCAGACTTAGTCTGTTTTCTTTTAAATGATCAATACCATAGATTATGATTGCTATGCTGCTAAGTCTTAGACACTGTACCCAACAACAGCATCTCTGAAGTAAATTCTGTTTAGAGTAATTGCTCTACTACAAGTTAAGAAGCTCTGTGGAGTTTTCTCTTCTATATGCAGACAGGCAGCTCCAACTGATACTAATGGGATCTGTGAGCAAATACAGAGAGAAGAGACGCTTAAAAGGCACAAATGAATTTAAGTGCTAATCATGATTGCCCTGGAGGTCCTTACGCAAAATGAAGCAAATAAACTATCACCAACAATGTCTTTGTTATTTGGGATGCATTAACCTACTATTTTTCAGATCTTCATCAGCACCAATTTATTAAAAGGGCATTACACAAGTCATGGAACAAATCAACATTATAATGACTTTTCCCTCAAATGAAATTATGTTGTATACCCATGGCTTGTGATGGCATACTTAATAAGTATCGAAAACGAAAACATGCTTCATACTTGTTAATCTGATGCCTTGTTTCATGAAACACAGTAATTTTTAGGATTTGGGTGCTACTCAATTATTTCTGCTAAAATAATTTGCCCTTTAAACAGGTCTGGAGCAAGAGTCCGCTTAAGTGGACTAAAGAGAGCTCGTTAGTGCCTCTGTGACCTGGGACTGCGGACCCCATGCTGGTGGTCACACCGTGGGGACACACACTTACCCACGCAGCTGGGGACTGTGTCGTTCCACTGGGCCAGGGCGCTGGGTACAGACTGGCAGCGGATGGCCGCGGAGCCCTGGAGCAGGTAGCCCGGGTTACACTCGAAGCGGACGATGGACCCCGCCGAGAACTCGGAACCGATTCTCCTCCCGTACCTGGGCTCGGGGACAGAGCTGCACTGGGTGTCACTGGTCCTCGGGACGGCTAGAAGCAAGACACACAGCACAACCATCTGTGTCTGCAGCACAAAGCCACGGCATCTCCTTGGAAACAGATCTAAGATGAGTCCAGAGGGAGTTTCTGCTGATGCGGAAATTAATAAATGTCTTTTGCAGTCTCTATGAGGAATGGCTCAGGGAGCACTTACTCATCTACATGCCTCCTCAAATCAACCCTGAGGACCACCTCAGATTCCCATCACAGACGGGGAAAACATGGCACATGGAGAATTGGCGCTTTATGAGGACAGAGTGATATTCAGGCATTGAACTTAACTAAGTACTCAGATTACTGTGCTGGTGATAATGAGATGACTAAGAACATGCATTTATCCTCAAGGACCTCAGACTCTAGTGAGAAGAGCTGCTATATAAAGGATTACTTATAATGTGGCCTGGTGATTAAAAAGCAAAATTAAAAACAGAACTACCACATGACCAAGCAATTCTACTTCTGAGTGTTTATCTGAAGGAAATGAAATCCCTCCCCTGGAGAGACATCTGCACCGCCATTACGTAAGGGTATTATTCGCAATAGCCAACTTATGGAAACAACCTCATGTCCACCAATGAATAAATAATGTCGTATATACACAAGATAGAATATTATTCAGCTCTCTAAAAAGGAAGGAAATTGTGCTACTTGCAACAACATGGATGGACCCATAGGACATTAGGGAAGTGGAATAAGTCTGTTGCAGAAGGACAAATACTGCATGGTCTCATGGATAGGAAGCAGTTAAGAGACAAGCTTAGAGGAGCAGAGAGCAGATGGTGGTTGCCAGGAGGTGGTGGGGAGGGGTAGGGGGAAGGTAGAGCTACCATTCAACAGCAGTCATTCAAGACTCCCAAGTTCTACAGATCAGATCGGCTGACAAAGCTGTGCAAACAGTTAATGATGCTGTGTTGCGTGAGTGCTAAGTTGTGTCTGACTCTTTGCTACCCCATGGACTGCAGCCCACCAGGTTCCTCTGTCCATGGGATTCTCCAGGCAAGAATCCTGGAATGGGTTTCCATGCCCTCCTCTATGGGATTGTCCCAACCCAGGGGTCAAACCCGCATCTCTCACATCTCCTGCATTGACAGGCAGGTTCTTTACCCCTGTGGCACCTGGGAAGCCCCAAGGACACTGAATCATGCACTGGGAACTTTACAAAACGCTAACTGCTCATCTTAAACAATGATTGAAAGGATAACATGAGAGGGTAAATCTCATGTTACCATAATAAAATTAAGAAAAAAAAAAAGAACATAAGTATCATACATACAGTTTCAGGATTCATCCTGTTAGGAAAGACGTGGGAGGAAGAAGAGGGCAGTGGGAGTGGCTGAGGGCAGAGCCAACCTTCTCCTTCCCAGGGTCTTCCCACTGGATCAGCAGTTCTCCAAGGTGGGAGGTAGGGAGCGGGTAGCCATTTGGGGTTGGAGGGGGCACTGACCCTTCCCCAGTGTCTAATATTATCACTGTGTGTTTGTAAATGAAAAGAACAGATTACACAGCAAAGAGCAAAGCTTGGCAGTACACTCCAGCTGGTGGGACGTCACTTGCTGAAGGAGTGGGAAATACGAGGAGCGGCCCTGACTCTGACCCCTGGCCGCTGGCTCCCTGAGAGCTGGTTCCCGCTGCAGACCACACCCCATCTTGGAGGCCACTGTATGTTTGTGATCACAGGCACTGCTGGGAGCACTGTGCAAGCCACACAGACCCCAAATCCCCTCCCCAGACTCACAGGGCTGCCACCTCTACTGATCCCAGTCAGCCCTGCTCCATCCCTCCCACATCCACGTACAGATGAAGATGCTCCCTGACAGCGCTGAGCCCACGGCAGCACCTTCAGGCCCACCACACAGGCCGGCCTCCTGCAGCCACCCCCAGCTCTCTGCCTGTCCCCACGTTCTCCACAGCGTGCGGATCTCATGGTCTTTGACCCTGGGCACGGCAGGTGAGCCTCCATCCAGTGAGGTATCCACTCAGGCTGTAGATCAGAATGCACTGATAGGCAGGGAGTGATCACTATAAGTGATTTTCCTGTTTACAAAAGGAGGCACGAGATAAAGTTCAAAAAACACTTCAAGGGCAAAGGGGCTGGTCATCCCAAACCGACGCTGAGATCCACCAGGTATGCACTTGGGAGTTTGCATATTGACTTCTGTCCCTGCATTGAAAGTCAGTTCATGTTTATCATCTCCGAGATCCCCATCTTCCTGTCTTTGAGTACCTTCTGTGAAAGTGCAGCCCTCTGAGGGGGACATTTTACTTACAAATAATCCTTCTGTCTTTATGGTCCTTTCTCTAATACTCTGGCATCTTGGGTTGAATTGAACCCAAGCAATAACTGACACCATTTGGGTAAATTGCTGGAAGCACTTCTATAAGAATGGAAGTCAGAAGACTGTTTTGAATAAACTAAGCTTCAATTCAGTGTTGAAATATTTTTGATCAGAAGGCAAAAGTTAATAAAATTGTATAATGTCTAATAACTATGAGAAAATTAATGATATTATAGAATATTTTTCTGTAACTGAAAACAACACAGAATATAATATTCTGTTGTAAACATATTGCCCACAGCTTACATTTGTCATATTTTAGTGTCTGATTATTGTGTTACAGTTGAACAGCAGCATGAGAGGGATAAACAAATAAATACAATGATAATCTTGACTGTCCTTTTTATAAACATGGAGAAATCTCTAATCTTTCCTCACCTGGAGATTTCAGGCCATACCACAGAGAAATGCCATGCCAGTAGCAATTATTCTAGTGGTCATGTGTGGATGTGAGAGCTGGACCATAAAGAAGGCTGACTGCCAAAGAATTGATGCTTTCAAATTGTGATCCTGGAGAAGACTCTTGAGAGCCCCTTGGACAGCAGGGAGATCAAACCAGTCCATCCTAAAGGAAATCAATCCTGAAGATTCATTGCAAGGACTGATGTTGAAGTTGAAGTTCCAATTCTTTACCTACCTGATGCCAAGAGCTGATTCATTGAAAAAGACCCTGATGCTGGGAAAGATTGAAGGTGGGAGGAGAAGGGGACAACAGAGGATGAGATGGTTGGACGGCATCACCGACCCAATGGACATGAGTTTGAACAAAGGCCGTGAAAAAGTGAAGAATAGGGAAGCCTGGCATGCTGCAGTCCATGGGGTCACAAAGAGTCTGACATGACTTGGCAACTGAACAACAACAACGACAACAACAAGCAATTATTCTCCATCTTTCAGTAAATGCTGTGAAGCAAACTGAGATCAGCCCAGGGCCGAGTGGAAGGGGATGAGGTTTGCCTGGATCAGAGGGTGGTAAACACGGAACTGGCTTCTCAGGCCATGGACTGCGCTGTGCAGAGACTGGGTGCTACCCTCTGGGACTTTCATGATCTGAAAACAGGCAATATTCTGACTATGGGGAAGACAGGACCAGGGAGTGGAAATGCTTTCTCTAAGTCTGGGAGGAAGAATTTAGACTAAGGTTTTCTTTGCTTGACATCCTTCCTAGGCAAGCAAATACATGTTTCAGTTGATTTTCCCCAGGTCTCATCTTTTCTAAGATGGCATAAATTATAAGGCTTAGTTAGTTTTCCAGTTCTAAGAAATTCACATGTTGTATCAAGAGCTTATAAAATGCATACTTTTTACAAAGAAGATTGAGCATAAAGTGTTGTGCATAATTCACTGATGTATGTTTGAGTTCACAGACTAGTCATGGCTTGTCAGGATAGATTTTTCAACTATGAGAACAGAGTGATTTTGAGAAATAGAATATGTTCATCTGTCATTCAATGAAAAAGGAAAGACTGCTTTACTTGGACAAGTTATTCTTGTCTGCCTTCAGGTTTATTTTATTGCTGTCATTGTTTTCTTTTTTTTTATCTCCTTCTACCCTAAAATAGGTACAGTAAGACAGCTGTCTGCTCATGTCTATAGCTTAGAGAATTTGTGGTGGTGAAAGATTCCACCAACCTCTTACCTGCCTCACTTTACAAATGTGTCCTTCTACCTGCAAGGAGCATGGGAAGCAAACAAACAAATAAAACCCAGCAATAGTCAAAACTATGATTTTTCCAGTAGTTATGTACAGATGTGAGAGCTGGACCATAAAGAAGGCTAAGCAGTGAAGAATTGATGCTTTGGAACTGTGGTGCTGGGGAAGACTCTTGAGAGTCCCTTGGGCAGCAGGGAGATCAAACCAATCAACCCTAAAGGAAATCAACCCTGGATATTCATTGGAAGGACTGATGCTGAAGCTGAAGCTCCAAAACTTCGGCCACCTGATGCCAAGAGCCGACTCATTGGAAAAGACTCTGATGCTTGGAAAGACTGAAGGCAGAAGGAGAAGGGGACAACAGAGGATGAGATGGTGGGATGGTTCAGTGAACTCAATGAACATGAACTTGAGCAAACTCGAGAAGATGGTGAGGGATGGGGAACCTGGTGTGCTGCAGTCCATGAGGTCTCAAAGAGCTGGACACAACTTAGTGACTGAACAACAACAACAAAGACATAAAGTTACAATACTCTGTAAAAAATACAAATAATAAAGAGGCCTCTATACTTCCCGTTTCTTCACAAGATCAGGAGGACAGCAGCGTCCTCACCAGCACTGTCTCTGTGTTATTCACCAGGACCACACAGAGGGGCAGGGAGCATGCCTGGGTCACATACAGGTTTTCTGCGCCTGACACCTGCACCCATTCTTCATGGCACCCTGAACAGCTCTTTACAACTGGGCTGTCTGTGAACAGGGGCTGGACCGCATACAGTCTCAGAAGTCAGGAAGTCCTGCACAGTTTTAAGCATTAATGGCTTATGGAGGAATGAAGCTCTAAGTAGCACATGAAAGCAATATTCAGAAAGTTTTTACACAGTAGAGTTGTAATAATTTCTAGGTTTCCACTTAACTACTATTTTTCAAAAGGCAATGTTCAATTTTACTTTCGAGAGGGATTGAAAACTTTCCCATGTGCTTCTGAGTGATTGATAAATTGCATTCAAGATCTTAATTCTTTAGCTCCAAAGGATTGGGCTTTGATAAAAAGACATCAACTTTTGCATAAACTCACTGCAGTAAGAAAACAAGAAAAGGAGACACATTGGAACCTTAGAAGAAATACTGAGCATGTTATAGTCATCATATATCCTTAAGTACAAGGAAAATACATTGCTTCTATAGAAGGATTTGCTTTTCTTTCTACTTTTCTGAATTTCATATATTTTAATGATCCCTGGGTCAGGAAGACCCCCTGGAGAAGGAAATGGCAACCCACTCCAGTATTCTTGGCTGGGAAATCCCACGGACAGAGGAGCCTGGTGGGCTACAGTACAAAGGCTCACAAAGAGTTGGGCACAACTGAGCCACTGAACACATCCAATTGCAAACTAATGATAATGTTGTTTTAAAACAAGAAATGCCATTTTAAAAACCATGGCTTCTAAAGAAAATATTTGCAAACAGGATAGATGTAGGATCATGTGCCTCAGGCATTTTATCTGATAATCTGATCAATTTTCTAATCTTTATAAAAAATTACAGGAAGTCCCTAATCAAGGTAGACAATGCTAGGCACTTGAAGCTTTCCAGGACAAAAAAGTGTACTTAAACTAAGTAGCCCAGTTTCCTTAGATGTCATTCCAACTTAGTTTGGTTTGTGAATTTGCTTCTGCAAAGTAATATAGCATTGATTTAAAGAAAATTAGGATTAGGTGAGAAATGAGTTGCTTAAATTGGACCCTCTACTATAAAGGCAATATTTACTGGTTTAGTTATTTAAGTTTTAACAAAAGTTCAATTTGAACAGAGAAATTAATTTTAATGTAATAGCATAGTCACACAAGTAAGTGCTTCTTAAACTGGATTAGAGGTACTTCTCCTGACCTGTCAAACATGCTCACTCCTTCTGTGACTTTTAAATCATCTTATTATTGAATACTGAAGGGGTTTTATCGTGAAATATTTTGAGGCCATGCATTTCTCAGTGTGTGATTATCATAAATGCTTTATGAATGACATGACAGATTGTTATTCTCTATAACTTGATGAAAACCATGATGTTGTTGAGGATGCTTTCTGGAAAAGTCCTTATTAAAGGAAAGAAATTTTTGCCAGGAAGTTATTCTCCTCTTTTGCTGAAGAAAATGTTCAAGAGCTGCCTGCAATAGCTCCAGCCTCCAGGAACACTGAGACCTCGAAATACTAAGTATTCCTCTCACTTTTGAACAGGAAGTTAGCGTATCTCTGAAAATGACAACCTCTTTCCGATCTCAGGGGACAGTTATCACAAGTTAGATCCAGAGACTTTCCCTGTGCCTCTGAAAGTGGACAGACTTTTCAGTCCATGGGGTGTACTCTCAAATTCACATAATGGATATGCAAACTAAAGGTGAACTAGAAACAGGAAAGAAATCTTCATAGTTCAGAACCTTTGTGCAATTTCAAGCATTTTGAATAAGCTCCAAGTTCAAAAATAAATGTAAAGATGTGACTGTGCCTAAAGTTAGAACTTAAGCAAAATAAAATAGGTACCTCCAGTGATAGAAACATGGGTGGTACCTTGGGTTTAGTTTGGTTTTGTTACATTTCTTTTTCAGTTAATTTTTACAGCAAAGTTTGGAATTGTACAATGTGTTTTAAGTGTCTTTCATTAAGATGGTTACTAAAATCTATTATGAAATATTTTACTTAATTAGGTGAAATAATATTGACACGTTTGAAATTATTTTGCAAATAGTGGAGTGCTAAACTAAGGTAATCGCATAAATATTTGTTTCCTGATCCTGTCAAATAAATGAAGCACAATTGTATCTTTGTCTTAGAAATATCATATTTAATTGTCAAAAGAAAAACTTCAGTATTTTTATTAAGTAATGTTATTATAATTATGCAGATACCCTCAAACTCTCAATTATTAAATGAAGTACAAGTCATGCTTTTGGTGCTGAAAACAGTGGTACGTGTGGGGTGGGAGGAGGGCAAAGAGGGCAGAGACGCACCTTGATACACGAAGTGGAAACCCCGCGCTGGAGCCCCGCTCTTTGCGCTGAATCGGAGCAGAATTTGGTTGGATGTGGCCAAAGGCAGTGTCTCACCTGGAGGGAAAATCAGAGATCATCTATAGGATAGAAAATAACAGGGTATTTATTTTCTGATATTTTTATTTTCTTCTGAGATAAGTATTAAATTTTCTGTGGTCTCAGTAAAAAAAAAATAAATAAAGTCAGGTGGCTTTATATGTGGGATAAAAATGCATTTGAAATTTTACATTGAAAATAAGATTTTACTAAGCAAGCAAGCAAATTCAAAGATGATTAAATTTCTCCTCCACAAAAGAAAATAAAAATAGACAAGCTTAATATTAATTCTCCTGGCTGTGTGACTAGAATGAAAGACAGAGCTCACGGAAGGTTTACCTGAGTGAGACCCCGAGAGGGAGCTGAGCAGTCTGGCCTGAGGGTGCGTCCCATCAAACAGCTCCGCCAGGTCATTCAGCGCGGTCTGGAAATAGGCGAACTGCCCAAACACCACTGAAAATGAAGGGGTGGGTTGGCACAAAGCGCTTTTTTAAAAATAAAGAAATGAACAAGGTCCCATCACTTCATGGCAAATAGATGGGAAAAAGTGGAAGCAGTGACAGACTTTATTTTCCTGGGCTCCAAAATCACTGCAGGCAGTGACTGCAGCCATGAAATTCAAAGATGTTTGCTCCTTGGAAGGAGAGCTATGACAGACCTAGACAGCGTATTAAAAAGCAGAAATACCGCTTTGCTGACAAAGGTCCGTATACTGAAAGCTATGTTTTCCCAGTGGTCATTCAGATGTGACAGCCATAGAGAAGGCTGAGAGCCAAAGAACTGACGCCGTCAAACCGTGGTGTGAGGAAGACCTGAGGGTCCCTGGATAGCAGACACAGCAACCAGTCCATCCTAAAGGAAATCAACCCTGAATAGTCACTGGAATGACTGATGCTGAAGCTGAAGCTCCAACACTTTGGCCACCTGACGCCAAGGGCCAACTCATTGGAAAAGACGCTGATGCTGGGAAAGACTCAGGACAGGAGGAGAAGGGGACGACAGAGGATGAGATGGTTGGACGGCATCACTGACTCAATGGACATGAATCTGAGCAAACCCTGGGGGACAGTGAAGGACTGGGGAGCCTGGTGTGCTGCAGTCCATGGGGTCACAAAGAGTTGGGCATGACTCAGTGACTCAACAACAACAACAAACAGAGGATTTTAGAGTCATCGGTCATCCTAAAGAGTGGAAATCTAGGACTTAAGTTTTACTATTCTTTTTTTTTTTCATTTATTTTTATTAGTTGGAGGCTAATTACTTTACAACATTGCAGTGGTTTTTGTCATACACTGAAATGAATTAGCCATGGAGTTACATGTATTCCCCATCCTGGTCCCCCCTCCCACCTCCCTCTCCACCCGATCCCTCTGGGTCTTCCCAGTGCACCAGGCCCGAGCACTTGTCTCATGCACCCAACCTGGGCTGGTGATCTGTTTCACCCTAGATAATATACATGTTTCGATGCTGTTCTCTTGAAACATCCCGCCCTCGCCTTCTCCCACTGAGTCCACAAGTCTGTTCTATACATTTGAGTCTCTTTTTCTGTTTTGCATATAGGGCTATCGTTACCATCTTTCTAAATTCCATATATATGTGTTAGTATACTGTAATGGTCTTTATCTTTCTGGCTTACTTCACTCTGGATGAAACTGGAGCCCATTATACTATTCATTTTTTATAACAAAATAAATATTTTGAAGCCAGTCTTTCAGTTTTTAAATTAAATTGCTATTTTCCATTTTCCACTGACTGATAGAGTCAGTGGACCTTCTTGGGAGTCTGGTCCCTCTGCCCTGGTTTCTGTGATCACATCTATCACCCTCTAAGTATCAGACACCTGATTTTCTTAACAGAGCAAGATGAGACAAGGGAAGCCTTGCCTGGAAACTCAGTCACCCTTGAGAACTGCCTGAAAGAAGGAGCTTAAGATACTGAGTACATTGCTTTGCACTGTTCATGAAGGCCTGTGATCTAAACTACCAGAGGCTGAAGTAAGTCCTTGGAGGAGGTTTTTATTAGATTTTTAGAAGCCTGTGATTAATATAAAAGAAGTTCATAGAAATCATCTGTCTCCCATATGCAAGTTTCTTAAGCAGCAATTAACTTTCTCATCACATAAATATGTTTTTAAAATATTTGCCCTCAAACAGAATGGAACCTTAGAATTTTTGTCAGTTTTATTTCTATGAGTGGGTGGCTGCTATTTTGAATGCAAAGAAAAAAAATAGAGTATGTTGGGTTTTAACTTTCACTGTTGAGAGAAAGGAACTATTCCATAAAATTATAAAAGCTCTTCTCTTCCAACTCTGGGAAAGAATCCAACACAGAAGTATCTTCCTGGTCTAGCGTGAGAGGGGAGATGTTGAGGAAGCCGCCAGGAGCCAGTCAGTGGGGGGCCATCTAGACACGAAGCCATCCCAGAAAATTGGCTCAGGCTGGAAGCCAAGTTCAGCAAGGAAACTTGGGGTGTCAGGTTTGGAGGGGTCAGATAGGGAACTGCCTGCTTTTACATCTGCAGTCACTCAAAGGTGGGTTCACTGACCCAGTGATTTCCAGAGTAATCAATAACCAAATATACACGCCAGTATCTCACAGACTGATCAGGTTCCCTGGCCCACATGTGAGGCATTGATTTTCATTATACACAAACAACCAAATGAGAAAATGCTTCCTAACAAAAACAAGAACAATGCCAAAATTATTCTGCTAATTCTGGACTGGAATCCGAGAAGGAAGTTTAAGCATTTTCCATCACACTAATAAAAGACCTGCATCAGATCTTTTATGAGACACCTTTGGAAAACCTGTCACACGTCATCTTCTTTTATACTATTTCATTAAGTCAAGAGCTGATGTATTTGTTTATAAAATGATGGGAATCTTAACACAGAAAGAGATATGACAGTGAATTGAAAATAATAAAACCTTACCGAATTCCTTTGGCACTGTTATTGAATAGAGGCAGGTCTGACCGGCGGTATAGTTGTGAGGGTAATTGGGTGACAATACCACCCCCTCTGACCCCGTGTACTGGCCTCCGCAGGGGGCTGAAAGAGACCAACCGAGAATTATGTGCTGTGCGTAACCACGCGGCAGGTGACAGGGACCTGAAAATGTCAGCATTGTGCAGTCAACATGAATATTCAAAGTCCTAACAAAGTATCATAGTCACAAATGGATTTCACATCTCCATCAAAAGTGAAATAAGAAGAAAAGCAAAGACTGAGCAGTGAGAAAAAAAGTAACTCAACTTAAGAGGAGGACCTAATATTATTTTTAAGAATGTTCTCAGACATGCTAAAATAATAATGGAAACAGTTCTCATGAGAGTAGGAACAGGTCGAATAAAGACAAATTCTTAAGTTACTTCAAAAGTCTCACTAGAATTTTCCAGTTGATCTCAAACACCATATTAACTTAAGTGATACAAAGATTATTTCCATTTTCTATTGTCTAATTACTATGAGACTAAAAGAAAAATAATCATTTTTAGTCTTTGCTATCTTTTCATCATAGATTCAGCTCAAGAGTGACAGGTACAGTTACTAATGTTTCTGGGGTCTCTTCTTGTAAGTCCCACTGAAAGCTGAAGGAACCCAAAAGTAGAAAGTTAAGGCAGGTACACTGATGAGGTGCTACACGCACAACTCAGTGAGAGACAGACTGTGTGTTTATTTTCCCTCTGATCATCTTATTTACTCTCAGCATTGCGCTTGCTGAGAAAAGAGAAAAACACTGTAGCCTGGATATTCAAAATACTATTGCTAAGCATCTTAAAGGAGACATCCAATTACATTCCAGTTTTGAAAAACCCAGTTTTGGGATTAAATCGCAAATCCTTCAATGTTTCCTATTTTTACTTAAAAAGAGGTCCATGTCTGCTCATCTGTTTAGAATACTACGTATCCACTGATGTGACACTGATTGCACTCTCTGTGGCCTGACTACACGCTTCCTTATCCTGGGTACACCTTCTGTGATCTGGATTCATTCATAGTTATTTTCAGTCTGAGGGAAAGTTTATTTCTACAGCATATTTCTTCTCGGTGTGACAGTTTTCAAGCATTAAGAAGGATAGAAATCAGAGATAACATGCTTAATCTTTTGATGAGCACACTGTTAAGTCCTAATGGATGGCCAGGATGAATAAAGCTCCTCAGATGTTGATGCTGGCATCAAAGCACCTCACTGATGACTGCGCAGATTTCCTAGGGCCTGCTCTATGCACCTGGAAACAGAAGTCATGCTCTAGAAAGTCAGTGGAGACAGCTTAGACACCTGATAACTTTACACTAGTAGAGATTTCACTTAACTAAGCTAAGAGCAGCCTTCATGCTAATGTATTAACTCAGAGCAATTTTATCACCCTAAAACAATTGCCATGACTTTTTTTTTAAACAATCTTAAATAGAAAAAAAGTTTTTACTTTTAGATGGAGGAAATTCTCTACGCTAAACTTCAAAGCTCAAGGTTTTCAGTGAAACGTGGGAAGACTCCTACCAGTTGAGATGGATCACTTAATTTTTAAAAAATCAGCCATACAAATTCAACCATGTTATTTCCAAAATACATATATATATATGTATATGTATACATTTATATTTATACATATACCTAATAAATCTTCTTAAACACTCAAAGTTCAAATTTTTAAAGATAAGTACAAATGAAGAACAGAAATTTATTTTCTTTTAGACATACAAAATTCAAGCAGATCCTTTTGCAAATATCCATTTTCTGTAAGAAAAGGTTAAACTATTTTGAATTTTAAACAAGAAGCATAAATGAAAAGTGGAAATAAATCTTCTCTGGGCTAATATTTGGATGGCCAGATGATTACATGGAAATCTTATCAATCAGGAATCATATCTTCCGATATATTTGTTCAAGTGTAACTGTTGTGCTTAGTTGCTCAGTCGTATCTGACTCTTTGAGACCCTGTGGACTGCAGCCCACCAGTCTGAAATATATAACTATATATATGTACACATTTCAGAAATAACATGGTTGAATTTGTATGGTTGATTTTTTAAAAAAATTAAATGATACATCTAAATTGATAGAAGGAGTCTTCCAGCATTTCTGCAAAGATTTATTTTGTTCACAAATAGGATGAAAGAATATTACTTTATGATAATAGGAAACAATGAAAACTAAAAAGGATGAAATGAAAGAAAACAGACGTGGCATTTTAGGTCCTCTGCTACTTTGATAAATTGCACTGTGCTTATACATTCTTCCCCAGATTTGAAGATAAGCACCAAAATTGCATGATATACTTCAAAGCAACCAAACATTTGTGCAATTGAGAAATATATATAGAGAGAATTCTTGTTTAATTAGTAATAATTATTCTGTCCATGTTACTGTGGTAATCTGAGAAATAGGGATCACTTTTCTTATGCTAGAAATTCTTTTATATTATTATGATAATAATAGGAAAATGAATATGCTCTTGTTCTCTGGTAATTAATGTATTAAACAGACCATTTCCTAAATTAATAAGGACATGCAACAACATTCACTGCAGATGGTAACAAGAAACTAACTCATCCATTTGGTTAATTGGAATATATGTAAACCAAAAACAACATAAACAGAAGCCATTTTGACCCGTGCAAGGGATTCGAGGCTGTTTCCATTTCTGTTCTAATTCAGTAGGAAACCTCAATGAACAAGAACTGTAGGCAACAGAAAGAAAAATTATGTCATGCCTTTAAAACAAACTAGTCCAAAATATGTCCTTTAATATACAAACTACGAAGATGTTTAAAATATAGCAACATTCACTTAGCTTAATTGGTGATCTGAGTAATTCACAGACATTAATTCAGCACAAATGTGCTGTTCTTCATGAGATATCCCAATTAAAATATGGGAGAGGTCATTTCTGCTTAATGATTTGGAATTCTTAAGTTTTATTTAAATTTAAATAAATAAGGAAAAATCATTCTTTGATGTTTTATGCACATACATACGATGGCTAGTTAACAGAAACCGTGCCTGCTGGGTCTTGAGATATGGAAAAACCTCTAATTTAAAATTAGATTATTTATCTATCGCCTAAATGTGACCTCTTTTTTTTTTTCATTGAGTCTGTGGCTAGAGAATTTATCTTCCCTCATAAGTTCAAAGTATGTTTGAATTTAATACAATGCACAGTTTTCACAGTTAGAAATGCCCATCTAAGTGAAAGAAAAATAACCCCCTCCCACAAACCTGAGTACATTAAATTAAACGCTCAAGGAAGGCCAAATCCTTATCCCACATTGCTCTGTGGGGTCACCCCACTGATAGGGGCAGAGGACTGATGTGCGGCCCCTCTCCTGAATGCGGGTCCGAGTTCCAGAGGGAAGTTATCTCTGAAGGCAGCTCTGGCCCCACGCGTCGGCACGTACCGTTGCAGGAGGGCAAGACCCGATTCCACGCGGGCTTTCCGTCCACTCCAATCACACACGTGATGGAAGATGGGTCGGCGATCTTGTAGCCAGAGTCACACTGGTAAGTGACGGTTGAGCCGAGCTTGAAGTCGGTCCCGATCCTCGTCCCATTCATTATGTTTCCAGGGTCAAAACAGGCTTCCCGTGGTTTCTCTGTGGGAGAAATGAATGCAAACTCCATGAGAGCAGGGATTTTATTTCTTTAAGTGTCCAGCAAATGAAAAATGCTCAAAAAAAATCGATTGACTCATAACCAAGTTGTTAATGTTCAAGTTAATGATTATCATAGAAAAACAGAAAAAACTCCTTCAACAAAATTATATTTCTCATTTTTCAAATGACAACACACTGCAGAATTTCTATTGTAGCTGATTTCCTGACTTTTGTACTTACTTCATAGTAAAATGAAATCACATCACATTTTAGGAAGAGATGGGAGAACTGGCTTCTCAGAAGGAAGCTGGTTTAATTCATGTGAGGTAAGAGTGATTTTTTTATGCTGGGAAGATAATCAAGAAAGGAAGTTCTGATCCTGTACTACCCTCACTGAGTCAGTGATGCCAAACTTAGCTGGAAAACATGTTTGCTGATCCATAGGAATGGATCAGGGCCAAGCCCTGTGCCTGGGATGTAATAATTACCCAACACAGTTCCACTCTAATTGCAGTACCTGCTGCAAGGAAGTGAGGGTGGATCATCTATCAGGCATTGAGCTGTTTATCTTGCATATTTCATTCAAATGTTCACCCACTTCTGAGACATGAGGATGATCTGGGCACTGTTTCACATTTTGACAATATGAAGCTCAAGATAGACTAAATAACTTTCACAAAAATGCCCTGCAAAGTCCTGTCCAGTTATAGGGCCACTAAAGGACACATTTGCTAAAAACCTTGTTGTTATTTAAATAATAATAATAAAAAAAACCTTGTAGTTGTTTAGTCACTCAGTCGTGTCCGACTCTGTGCAACCTCATGGACTGCAGCATTTCAGGTTTCCTTATCCTTCACCATCTCCTGGAGTTTGCTCAAATTGCTGTCCATTGAGTTGGTGATGCCATTCAACCGTCTCATCCTTTGCCACCCCCTTCTCCTCTTGCCCTCAATCTTTCCCAGCATCAGAGTCTTCATCAATGAGTTGGCTCTTCACATTAGGTGGCCTAAGTTTTGGAGCTTCAGCATAAGTCCTTCCACTGAATATTCAGGGTTGATTTCCTTTAGAATTGACTGGTTTGATCTCCTTGCTGTCCAGGGGACTCTCAAGAATCTTCTCCAGCACCACAATTCCAAAACATCAATTCTTCAGCACTCAGCCTGCTTTATGGTCCAACTCTCACATCCATACACGACTACTGGAAAAACCATAGCTTTGACTAGATGAACCTTTGTCGGCAAAATGATGTCTCTGCTTTTTAATACACTTTCTAGGTAGGTGTGTCATAGCTTTCCTTCCAAGGCTAAAAACCTATCTTCTTCCAAATATAAGTACAAAGCTGTCTTCTTTTTCACACAGTCTTGTAGCTGTGTCTTGTAGCTTGTGTCTTGGTAGCTTTAATATTGTAAATGTTCGATTTTAGCAGACCTTCCAAATATCTCTAAATCATGTATTTCTATCTTCTTCTGTTGCATACAATTCCATTTGAATTGCTTTCTGTTTGTACTTGTCAACATCGTTCACTCCATCAGCAAAGCCCCTTGTAACATCAGAAACCTCTGGGATGGAATTTTACAGCTTTTCAAGTGATCAATATAGATGTTATACTGAAATGTTTTTCTTTTTGGGGGAGGTTACAGTTAAGAAAATGCTGTTTGTTATGAATATGCGTGAGTGTATGTGTGTGTGGAATGGGGTTATCATTAATAATACAAATATAGGCTCAAGGATAACTTGAGTGCATAAAATAAATATGTTTCAGCTCTTTTCACTTTTTTGACAATCTTTCCCCCAGGGCTAAGCATACACATAAAGGATTTCTGGAGAGTATAAATGCAAGGCTTCATTTTACCTTTATGGGGAGTTGTGACCAATATGGATTATGTTCCCTTTTAAACATTTTCCCTCACTGCGTGTCTGCCTACTATGTATGTGTGTTCAGTCACGTCTGACTCCTTGCGACCCCACGGACTGTAGCCCACCAGGCTCCTCCATCCATGGAAATCTCCAGGCAAGAACGATGGAGTGGGTTGCCATTTCCTTCTCCAGGGGATCTTCCGACTCAGGGATCAAACTCCCCTCTCTTGTATCTCCTGCATTGGCAGGAGGGCTCTTGATCACTGCGCCACCTGGGAAGCTCACTGCCAGTGAGTATATCTGCACAGTGGTGTTAGAGGATGCTCCTGGGGGACTGTGGCAGGGGAGCTGGGAAAGAGTGAAGATGAAATGAGCTCTGAAAACCACATCCTGCATCCTCCGAGGAAAGGTTAACATGCAGTAGAAGAGGGAAAAGGCACAAACTTTGTGATGTTTTGCAGGACAGAGAAGAGGCCTGTTCGGCTGTATTTATTCAATACTTGTCAGTATATTTTTAATTGTCTCTGTATCAATATCAGCCAAACAGAGATCTCTTTGGCAGTGTTGTCCCAATCTATTATAACCAACTATTAGAATATATTATGTACATACTTTTGTTAAAAGCACAACATAAATATATAAATATTATATTATCATGAGTATCATATGTGCTATATAATCATATATATCATAGATAATATAACAATTATCACATATCATACCTCATTATCATGTGTATCATATACCATGTGTACTGTATTATCACACATATTAAACATCACTATACAGATGCATCATATGCCATATGTACTATATTACATACATAACATATTGAACATTATCATACATCATACATATCATATGCCATGTATAATATTTCAATTATCATACATAATATATCACATATATACATTTTGGAAACTCTAGGTCCTCTATTTTGCTCTGGTTAGAGTCTCGCAGCAAGAGCTGTGAACTCTGTTGGGATCCACACTCTCTAATCACTTCGTTGAAAACTGATTTGTTCAAGGAGTAGGGGACATTCTGATAATTCTTTGTAGCTTCCTCAAATCCCACGTAGAGCACAGATCATTTATTTTAAGCAAATAAGGGATGGATAAGCAAAACTGTGGTCACCAGAATAATCTTTCCATCAGCTTCCTTCCAGGAGAACATACCCAGCATCTAACAAATACAAGCTCTGGTCTAGGGTATACATTTTTCTCCTATAAAATAAGAGAGAAAAAATGCATTTCTGATGCCTGGTCAGCCTTTTTGATAATTTTTTGTTATAAATGTCTGTTGGTTTAGGGTATGTTTGGTTAAATAACACACCCTCAATTTTCTGCTCCATGTTGCTAATGGAGAACTCTGAGGCCAGTTTTTCTTCATTTCTCCAAATGAACTGCATCGAATCTTTTGGTTCCATTTACTCAGTTGTCAGTTCAGGATGTTTGGTGATAAATCACGGTACTTTTTCTGCTTACAATTTGTCACAATTTCTAAGGAGATGACTTCATTACACAGCTCCTGTCAGTTCTGCTTAAGGCCACTTTCCAGAACTCCTGCCCGAGAGCCGTGCTGATGGACTCGGCGGGGTCTCTGGGGTCACTGGCAGGACTGCCCTGAGGCTCCTTCAGGTCAAGTCCAAGGGCTGGGTCTGCTCTCTGCTTCCCTGACCAATGACAAATGCATAGTCTTTTTATTTCCCTTGAAGTCAAGTTGATTTACAATATTATATTAGTTTCAGGTGTACCAACAGTATGGTGATTCACTATTTTTGCAGATTGTATTCCATCATAAGTTATTACAAAATAATGGCTTCAATTTCCTGTGCTGTGAACAACAGAGGATGAGATGGTTGGATGGCATCACCAACTAAACGGACATGAGTTTGAGCAAACTCCTGGAGATAGTGAAGGACAGAGAAGCCTGCGGTGCTGCAATCCATGGGGTCGCAGAGTCAGACACCACTTAGCAGCTGAACAACAACAAAATAGTGGCTATAACTCCCTGTGCTGTAAAAAAGTCCTTGCTGCTCATCTCTTTTACACATGTGTGTGTGTGTGTCAGTCACTCAGGCATGTCCAACTCTTTGTGACCCCGTGTGCAGAAGCCTGCCAGGCCCCTCTGTCCATGGGATTTTCCAGGCAAGAATACTGCAGCGGGTTGCCATTTCCTTCTCCAGGGGATCTTCCCCACCCAGGAAGCGAACCCAGGTCTCCTGCATTGCAGGCAGATTCTTCACTCTGGGTAAGTAGTAGTTAGTCAATCCTGTACCCCTAGTTTGTCTCTCCCCTTTCCTTCCCCCATTTGGTAACCACAGGTTTGTTTCCTATGTCTGTGAGGCTGTTTCTGTTTTGCTTATACATTAATTTGTATTATTTTTTAGATTACACTTCAGTTCAGTTCAGTCGCTCAGTAGTGTCCGAATCTTTGCAACCCCATGGACTACAGCACGCCAGGCCTCCCTGTCCATCACCAACTCCCGGAGTTTACTCAAACTCATGCCTCATGAGCAGTATGAAAAGGCAAAAAGATAGGACACTGAAATATGAACTCCCCAATATGCTTGCCCAATATGCTACTGGAGATCAGTGGAGAAATAACTCCAGAAAGAATGAAGAGACAGAACCAAAGCAAAAACAACACACAGTTGTGGATGTGACTGGTGATAGAAGCAGGGTCTGATGCTGTAAAGAGCAATGTTGCATAGGAACCTGGAATGTCAGGTCCATGAGTCAAGGCAAATTGGAAGTGGTCAAACAGGAGATGGCAAGAGTGAACGTTGACATTTTAGGACTCAGCGAACTAAAATGGACTGGAATGGGTGAGTTTAGCTCAGATGACCCTTATATCTACTCTTGTGGGCAAGAATAGCTTAGAAGAAATGGAGTAGCCATCACAGTCAACAAAAGACTCCAAAATGCAGTACTAGGATGCAATCTCAAAAAATGACAGAATGATCTCTGTTCATTTCCAAGGCAAACCATTCAATATCATGGTAATCCAACTCTATGCCCCAACCAGTAATGCTGAAGAAACTGAAGTTGAACCTATATGAAGACCTATAAGACCTTTTAGAACTAACACCCAAAAGAGATGTCCTTTTCATTATAGGGGACTGGATTGCAAAATAGGAAGTCAAGAAACACCTGGCGTAACAGGCAAATTTGGCCTTGGAGTACAGACTGAAGCAGGGCAAAGGCTAATAGAGTTTTGCCAAGAGAACACACTGGTCATAGCAAACACCCTCTTCCAATAACATAAGAGAAGACTCTACACATGGACATCACCAGATGGTCAACACTGAAATCAGATTGATTATATTCTTTGCAGCCAAAGATGGAGAAACTCTATACAGTCAGCAAAAACAAGATTGGGAGCTGACTGTGGCTCAGATCATGAACTCCTTATTACCAAATTCAGACTTAAATTGAAGAAAGTAGGGAAAACCATTAGACCGTTCAGGTATAACCTAAATCAAATCCCTTATGATTCTATAGTGGAAGTGAGAAATATATTTAAGGGAATAGATCTGATAGACAGAGTGCCTGATGAAGTATGGACGGAGGTTCGTGATATAGTACAGGAGACAGGGATCAAGACCATCCCTAAGAAAAAGAAATGCAAAAGAGCAATACGGCTTTCTGAGGAGGCCTTACAAATAGCTGTGAAAAGAAGAGAAGCAAAAAGCAAAGGAGAAAAGGCAAGATATACCCATTTGAATGCAGACTTCCAAAGAATAGCAGGGAGAGATAAGAAAGCCTTCCTCAGTGATCAGTGCAAAGAAATAGAGGAAAACAATAGAATGGGAAAGACTAGAGATTTCTTGAAGAGAATTAGAGATAACAAGGGAACATTTCATGCAAAAATGGGCACAGTAAAGATTCCACTTTCAAGTGATAAAATTATAAACTATAATAAAGATTGGTAAGTTTGTAGATGTTAGTGTTTTGGAAGAAGTAGATCAATCTTCTGCTTAAAAATCATATCAATAAATGCAAGTTCATTAAAAAGTTAACAAGAGTTGAAAAAGTCTATGTTTTATTTAACAATTCTGGTAACTAGTAACTAATTCACACGCTTAAACAAACATATACATACATATATATATTCATTATGTTTATAAAGCCCTCACTACTGTGAATTAATACGTTGGCGAGTTCTTTTCTCTGATTCTTTGTAAGGTGACCTGTGTTTTCCTTGTTCACATGAGAAACAGATTTGAAAAAAATTGATTATTTATTTTCATTAACCCAAGGGCAAAATGCTTAGGTTGGGGTGGTTTTTGCTTATGAGTTTTCTGTGTGTTTTCTCTGGATGCTGGTGACAGTGGGTGGTAGACCCCAGAGAAGTGGGCGACACTCATCATGTGACCAAAGGAGAAAGATGTGAGCAGAATCAGTGCTTGTGTGTGGGTGTGTCCCTCTGTGCTCAATCACTCAGCCATGTCAGACTCTGCAACTCCATGGACTGTGGCCCACCAGGCTCTTCTGTCCATGGGATTCTCCAGGCAAGAATACTGCAGTGGGTTACCATTTCCTCCTCCAGGGATCTTCCCAACCCAGGGATCAAACCCATGTTCCTTTTGTCTCATGCACTGGCAGGCAGGATTCTTTACCACTAGTGCCATCTGGAAAGCCTTGGGATCAGTGCTTGCTCCCCATCAAACCAACACCATGGGTGTAAGGACAGGGAAAGGGCCATCAGTATTTTACATTTTGAAAAATACTGAGATAAAGCTAAGCTGGTTGATGTAATTATATTGAGTCATCCTAGAGAAACAAGATAGTAAAACACTCTTAAAATAGTTCTTAATTACTTCAATTATTCATTGCATGTGCTAAGTCACTTAAGTTGTGTCTGATTCTTTGAGACCCCATGGACTGTAGCCCCCACCCCCAGGCTCCTCGGTCCATGGGATTCTCCAGGCAAGAATACTGGAGTGGGTTGTCATTTCCTCCTCCAGGGGATCTTCCTGACCCAGGGATTGAACCCACATCTCTTATGTCTCCTGGATTGACAGGAAGGTTCTTTACCACCAGCGCCAATCATAATTTATCTTTAAATGGCCATGTGTCTGGAGAAAAAAACAAACAAACAAAAAACATCCTCCCCTACTTTATTTTCTTTTGGCCAAGGTAGAAATGCATGTTGGAAATTTCTTCTCCTCTGGAGAGATTGGAACCTCTTCCCCAGACAGGTGAGAAAGTTGTCAGAATTAACGAGATAGGCAAGACTTTATAAATAAATGTCTACAATGAAAGCAACTGTGATGCAAATTACTTCCCTTGCCAGTTAAGCTGATCACAGTACCTTTAAATTCAATGGCAAACCCCGACAAGCCCACAGAAGCATCACTTCGAAACGCCAGGAAAAGACTATTTCCGCTGCTCTCAATTCTTTCTGGGGCTTGAGAGCCCTGGAAACTTCCAATGAGAGGGCTGTTGGAGTCCTCTCCTTCATAGATGTGCAGGAAATCATAGCTGGGCTCCATGTTGAAACTGAAAGGAAAGAATATTGATGAGTTTCCGTATCTCCTATATGTGTCTCTCTTCTTGCCAACTATCAAGTCTCTGAGAGCACACAGCAATTGTATCTGCCTTTGTATTTTAAGTTTTAAAAAGCAGGACGATCCAAAAGCTAAATACAATAATAATCAAAATGGCAATAAATACAACAGACACCAATTGTAACAAGTATTATTAGTATTTTACATAATAACCATTACCTTCAATACAGTATGATTTTGAAGATGTATAAAGGAAAATGCAACATAGATGCAGTGTCTCTTCCCTGTAACTGTGATATTTCTAATGAATGCAGTTTAAAGGAAGGGGGTTCAGAAGTGATGCATTTCCACTGATATTCGATTTTTATGTGAAAATACTTTCAGTTTAATAATATATATCCTTGGTGTTTGGGCTTCCCTGGTGGCTCAGATGGTAAAGAGACTGCCTGCTGTTAATCCTTGGTGTTGCTGATGATTCCTAAAGTTCAAAAATATTTTTGGTTCTTTACTTTTAAAATTGTAATTACCTCTGCTTGCTTAGGTAATTCAGCCAATATTTGCAGTCCTTATGATGGTACAAAGTGTGGAAATTAAACCTCATGTCATTTCACCACAACTGGATGTTCCAATTTTCTCTCCCTTCTCCTTCCTTGTTCCTCTCTCCCTTTCACACTCTGTATTTCTCTGTCTCTCTCATAATGTGAACACCCTAATAATTTCCAGTGTCTGACAATTAAAGTCCAAAGCTCTCAAGTGGGATACGGTATTAAATGTCTCTGCCATTTATGACAATAAGGATGACAATAATCTGGGAACTTGAAACATACGCCTACTCTCAAGTAAAAGACTGAACTTGGTTCAGGCATCTAAGACCCCAGTGGGGTCAGCATAGCAAATACACCAGACAGAGGCACTGCTGAGTCCATTCTGCCTGGCCCTCCTCCGTCCCTGCACCTCTAAGTCAGATACTTCAGGGTCTCTAATGTGGACCAGTCCAGGCAGCTTCCACTCTCTTTCCTTTCGCTCGGTGGCATATTTGGATATTCAAGGATGGAAAGAGTCAGGCGTTTTTAGGTATTATCACAAACACATGCTGTTGTTTAAGTGGCTCAAATTTATCTGGAGATTCAAGTGATAAAACATGAACGCCAGGTCCCTCCCAAAGCTGCTCTGGGTTCTGAAGGGTGCAGCGTGGGGGATGTCCACGGACCCCACATGAGTGTGATACTTGCATCTGTACTTCAAGTGATGAAACATGAACGCCAGGTCCCTCCCGAAGCTGCCCCGGGTCCTGAAGGGTGCAGCGGGGGGACGGCCATGGACCCCACATCAATGTGATACTTGCATCTGCACTTCTCCGCCCTACTCCCTGTCAAGGTGCCCCCACATGACACATTTACTCCAGGAGTTTGTTAAAGGTTTCAGAGCCTGTTTATCTGATAAGTTCCCTGAAGTTGGAAATGAAGAGGAAGTAAAAGACTGGAAAGATCACAGAGTGAATAAAGAGGCCAAAAGGAATTGCAGTGACCAAACAGAGTTTGATAGTAATAACAATTTCAGTTAGAATAGTTTACAGGGATGTTTTTAGATTCTGGTCATGTGACACCCCTATAACTGGCATAACTAATTATTATGATAGATTATTCTGAAAGATGGAAATTCGATCAGGCACAAACAAGTACATTCTAACTGCCGTCTGCTTTGGATGCCCCATCACGTATACACAGAGGTCTGAAGTGATTCCTACAGTTAACAATGGTGCCTTTTGGTTAAGTCCTCTCTTATATCTACCTACACCAGATGCACAGATCTACACACTCCAAGAATAGGTAGGCCTAAGTCTGGCCATGCTTTTAAACCAAATTCAATTTGGGTTCCAGTGTGTGAGTGGCATTAACCCCAAAGTCTACAGAAGTTTTGATAAAACACTCCTCCCCAAAGAGGCCCGCATACAGGACGAGCCTTGAAGCTCCCATGTGTGTGCTCCAGGCCCTGTCATTCTCTGTCTCCGTCACCTTTGTTTCTGTCTCTGCCAGGCTCCCCCCACCCCCCAGCTGAAGCCTGTGCCAACAGCAACCTCTCTGCCAGGTTCCTTGAGCATCTCTGCTCCCATCTGGTATCCTGGCTTCCTCCCTCTGTCTACTCAGTAAATCTAGGAGCTGAGGTCCCAGAAAAATGTCCCACCCGAGCACACACAAGCTGTCCATTTCTTAGAAGATGTCACAAACGTGCAAGTTTCTGTGACACCCAGCCAGTGAATGATTCCAAACTCTTAGAAGAAAACCTGGAGATTTTCTAGGTCAACCTTCTTCCAGGGAGGTGCACAAAAATTAAGTGAAAAACTACTTGTATAATATAAAACTGCCTTATATATTATCAAATGACATGCGCTGTGGGAAACTTGATAATGAGTCACTCTCCGTGACCCAAGGCAGGAAACGCCTACAAAAAAGGCTCTGTGCTCTCTAAAAGGCTTTTAATTGTTAGCTTACTTTTGATCCCCTGGCAGCAGAGGTGTCTCCTGGTTCTAAGAAAGGCTTCATTAGAATTTAACATTAACAAAAATCATAAGGATAATCAAAAACATAACCTAGCAAATGTTCACAGCCTTTGTGTAATAGCTAAGTGGCATAATAAAGTACTCATCATTTGGTAAATTTATAGCAGTTTGAGTAAACTCAGGAAGCGATGGCTTATCAAACTACTTAAAATTCAGAGTCACAGAGGTTTAAAATTACCCTGAGTCAGATCTCATCAAGAGGAGAAAGTGAGGAAGAAAGCACCACCAGCCCTGGAATACTGATATAAACATCCCAGTGAGAGAAACGTGTTCCATTGACAGATAAATAAATATGATTAGACCACTCTGCCTTGGAGAGCTGAGACCAACAGGACAGCATATAGAACCACTTTTCTTTCATCACTTTATCTAGGTCAAAAATCAAAATGTACACTTGGAAAATATCTTGGGATTTGGAAAGATGCAATTATTGTATGCCAGATATTAATAATGTGATAGTTATATAGAATTTATATGTGTAATATAATCATATTATGATTTGAATTTTTACCATTAAAAATTAGCATTTTTTTAAAAGGACTAATGTCTATTAATTGAAACTTTATGGCATTGAAATTTGGGGAATTTGTGTTTTCAGAGTTCTAGTAAGTCTTGAGTATTTTAATGATTATTAATAACAACACCACCTTGGGGATGTCAGACAGGATGCACTTGGAAATGAATTAGTGCCCATGCACTAAGAGAAATACGAGACATTGATGAGAAATTATACTAAGTATATCTATGTATCAGTCGCTCAGTTGTGTCTGACTCTTTGTGACCCCATGGGCTCTAGCCAACCAGGCTCCTTTCATCCATGGGATTCTCCAGGCAAGGATACTGGGATGGGCTGGTATTTCCTCTTCCAGGGATCTTCCTTACCCAGGGATTGAACCCTCGTCTCTTGCACTGGCAGGCTAATTCTTTACCACTGAGCCACTGGCAAGCCGCAAGTAAATCTAAATCGCCCCTTTATTTTCTTTAATATTCTGTAAATTAAGCCCTCTCGTGTGGAACACATTGTAAAAATGTGTGCAAGATAGTATTTAGAAGTAATTCCTGCCACGTCATGTGTATCCTAATTCAAGTAGAATGTTGAAAAGCGAAACAACCGATCTCCATGTTTGTCTTCCTGCATCCTGATATTATCCCTTTTAGATACGAGATGTGAAATTGAAGGCCCTCTGAAAGGACGAGTGCATTCATCGCAAGCTGTGACATTTAACGTCCTGCTACCAAGGAGTCCACAAACACGGTACCTTTTGAATATCAGGGCGATGACGAAGTCTGGGTTCACCTTCACTCTCCAGTCGCACTCCTTCCCGGGCGGGTAGGGCTGCGGGTAGTTGGGGGACAGGATGACCCCCGCGGGCCCGGTCAGGTTCCCTCCGCACGCCGCTGCCGCGGAAGGGAGAGGTATGCAGTCAGTGGGAGCTCATCAGAGACTGCATGCGGTGTTATTAAACTGACCTAGGAGGTCTACACATTTTTTAGTGTGATCATTACGAAATTTTATATAAGACCCCACTCCATTTTTAAGGAGGATTATCAATGCTGGCAAATGAAATGTACATCCTATACTTTCAAACTTTATCCAGTTAAACTGGATAGGTTACCCGAATCCCCCAAACTTCTGTCAAGTACACTATAAATATAAGAAAAAAAAAGAAACTTGGAGAGGGTAAAATATCCCCATTGATATCAGTTTATGGCCATGTCAATTCTTTGGTCATTTCTTGACAAAGAAGTCATTGTTCACTTACTCTAGGAAGTTTGCTTCAAATGGTATAATTGATCATTCACCTCCTGTTCACTTTTGTAACCCTAAGCCTAGGAGTTTTTGATCACAATAAGTATGCAGGAAATATATGCTGAATAAATGAAGATTTGTTATTTCATAGATTTCTCACAGTCCTCTGCTATATGCAGGGCTTGGGGTGTTGTGTCCAGATTTCAAAATGACAAAACTAGCAAGTAAGATTTAGGTGATATCTGGGGACACATGCAAGAGGAGGCTTGGCAGAAAGTTAAAACCCCTAAAAATATCATTTTATCACAGTGCTTAATATGTTATTATCAGGAAGAAGCATTTTAGATAATAGTAATAAATTTAATGTTTTCCGCAGTCTTCAATCTTTAATCCAAAGCGTTTACCTAAGTCAACAATTATGTAGTTGATCATTGCCAACAGGCACGACGGTCTTCATTTTTGAACCTGAAAATTTTGGGGGAATTTACATTTAGTAGATAAGACCTCTGTTAAAGCCTCTGTGCTGTGGAAGTTATTAAAACACTGCAAAATTGACGCACACTAATTTTAGATAGATGTGTTAAAATACTAGGTTAAAGGTTTTCGTATTAAACACTGTGAATTGTCACCAAGTTGTTAAAAAAAAAAAAAAACCTGATTAAATTGTACTGTTCCCTCTAAACTGTAAACCTCATTTCACTTCATTGATTATGCACATATTCAGGGGAAAAAACAAGTAGAGAAGGGATTATGCTAATTGCTGATAATTCCCACACAAATACACAGGGACGTTTTTTGAAAATAAGATGAAGATGTACACTTTGTAATCTTCTGAGATGAATGTGTCTTTAACACCCACTTAACATCCTGAAAACTTAACTTTCCATAAGACAAAATCTAACGAATCCCAAGACGTTTTGTTATAACTTCAGTTTCATCAAAGGCAAACTCTGAATAATATCACAGGAAATATTTATAATAAATTCTTAAAGATGTACTCTCAAGAGCAATTCAATATAATTTTCTCAAAAATGCTTTCAACCACATTTCCCCTAGCATGCAGTTTTATTTTAATAAATAGTGTGGAAACAATCAGCTAAGTGTGAAGAATCAGACAGGACTTAGTGACTGAACCACAGAGCGGCCTCCCCGGAATCAAGCGGCTGCTGACAGCGTGGAGCTCGAGAGTCCGAACAGACAGAAGAGGTGGTGCTGAACTGGGGAGCGGGGCACCTTAGGGTTCCAGGCGACGCGGCTCCACGCAGGCTTGAAAAGAACAAACTTGGCAGATTCAGGGCACCGCATACAAGGGCGCCACCAGCCGGAGGAGTTCAGGATGAGACCCAAATATTAATTTATAAGAAACAAAGGGAAGATCCTGTCTTATTCACACTGGTCCCAGGAAGCATTTTCCAATGAGGTTATTTAAAGACTTGGTGTGGAATTAAGCAGGACCATCTTGCTGGGTTTGTTCTCTCTTCTGATGGGGAACTCTTCATTTTAGTCTCATCAGGTTTTCATTAGCAAGCTTGCCCAATACTTCAGATAGGATTAGATTTAGTATCAAATGCAATTCAGACACTCTAGAAATTCTCCAGGGGGAATGGACATAGAGGTAAAATCCTCAAACCCATATCCACCAACAGGCCCTCATTTGAAACCCTCGGGGTCACTCCTCCTGACATGCGATAACATGTTCATCCACTAAGATGTGCAACAGTGCTCTTTAACTAGACACATCACTACTGCCGCACCAAAACATTTCAGTGTTCACGCCACTAAACAGGATCAACAGCTTCAAAACAGTCACCCGGTAGACCAGGCAGGATGGTGCCACCGGTTAAATGTCTGCAAACTTGGAATGCATTTTTGCTTTGCAGAGCTCATTAGAGCTGGAACTTGGACAAAAGGTACTGTGGGCTACTTGAGAAATCTGAAACCGTAGAGATGGTCAAGAGAAACTTTATTCAGAATCAGGAGGTAGTGAGAGTCCCCTCGTCTGGAGAATCGGTCTTTTAAGTCTCAGTAGAAAGTCCCAGTTCCAGGGGTGCCTCCATCATGGGAGTCCATTGTGAAATGAAAAGAGTGAGGCATCCAAGCAAACTACAAGAAGGGTGAGCAGCCAGTGACAAGCTGGTGAAAACAGGAGTAACATATAAACAGGGGAGCCGCTAAGAGATTTTATAAAAGCATGAGAGAGAGAGAGAACAGCAAATGGGGGCAAAAAATACACCAAGAATAAAATGGAAAAACGTTAGCCTGTCAATAAGAAAGAGCAAATTCAAGCGGCCAATGAGACTGAAATTAAAAACAGTTCAATCTCACTGCTAATTTAATATGCCAATAGAATCACCAAGGAATCTTCACATCCTGCTCGTATTATGAGATTAACAAATACCATATATAGCGTTGTTTTTTTTTTCCTGAGTTGGGGAAAATAAACAATAATATGATGGCTGATGATCATTAAACTGGGCAGTCTTTCTGGAAAAGTTTTGAAAACTCTGGAAATAGATAAGTTTGTAGAAATATGTCATTCATAAAAAATCATGGATGTGTTCTGCAGCGGTATTCTTTTCAGCAATTTTTGTGAGAGGGAAAAGGCTGAAACACCTAACTCTGCACTGAGGAGGGACTAGTGGGATCAATATTGGTCACTATTGATCCAGAGAGCAACTCTGTAAGCAGAAATGTTAATTAGTAAAAAAAAAAAAATAAGTAAGGACAGTAAAAGATACTCATCCTGTACTGGTAAATAAAAGCACAGTTTACAAAATAATCATTCAGGGTGCTGTCATTTAAAAACATTTTAAAAATAGGTTATATATACATAAAATAACTATGACACATACATATGCATGTTTACGTTAATAGCAGTTGCCCTTAGATAAAATGGTGATAGTGTTTTTTCATCTTTTTTCTTAACTGTAGCTTATAAAATTTATAGAAAAACATGCAATGTTTTAATAAGGAAGAAGCAAAAAAAAAAAAAAATGTCTCCTATCAGCAGAACAGAATTTAGATGAGCACCAAAGCATGACCACCACTAAGGTCTTATAAAAGCATAATCTCTTTTCTGAGGGAAAAATGTTCACAATGGGATGAAAAGATACTCATTTATTCCCAGATATGTGCTTTCCATTTTTGAGTTACATAATATCTATGTGTGTGGGTGGTTTTTGTTGCCAATACAATTGATATTCTATTGCCTGGGTGTGATGTTAGCTTCTCCATGGAGCTGATACTCAAGAAAGATGAAGTGTTAATCTGTTTTCATTGCTGAGAACCAGTTTACCTAGTCACTGATCAAAGTTAGATAACCAAGAGGCAAACCCCAAAAAAGACCATAGATTAGTTGGGAAGGTGGTCAAATTTTATAATCAATTGTTCAAATGAATGTAAACCAAGAAATTATTTTCAAGAGATTAACTGGTAATTGCTTCTTTATATACTCCTCCATAAGCTTAAACTCATGCAAATTGGGGGAAAATGTGCCTTTCCTGATTTAAAAACAGGCCAATGGTTTAACATGTTGGTTGCATTTATAGGTAATTACTCCACTTTAAAAAAGGAACATGAAGAAATCTGGTGCATCTCCTGATGACTCAGCTTGAGATGAAACGCATAACAGTGCTCACGAAAGTCATGAAATGTAAATGAGGCACAGAACATTAAATAAGCATGGTAGCTCCCTGACAGGCCTGCACATGCTAATAAGCAAAGCTGTCAATCTCATCCATCTCCAGACTCCTGCAAGCACTCTGTAGTAAGTTGAGAGTTGCACATTATAGTGCCGTGGGACCGCTGAGAATTTGTTCACGGCCGTGCGTTATGACAATAGAAATCATTCTAAGTCACAAAATTCCCTCAAGGTCATCTGGTGCAAAATGGCCCATTAACTATGTGCATGTCACTTCATTATCACTTCCTTTCTGTGCAGATTAATTCGATTTTATATTTTTTAAACAGATTATAAGGAAGTACAAATTACACTGTAACAATTCATTAAAATAATAAAGGTTTTTTTAAAAAAATTAAGATGGGCTACCACAAATAGGTATTTATGGCAAAATATTTAACTGAATGGACAATTTAATTGAATGAATAGTATATAAAAAAGTGTCTTTCCTTAAAACCATATTTGTGATAGAATAGGGGACTTCCCAGGTGGCTCAGAGGTAAAGAATCTGCCTGCTAATGCAGGAGACACAGGTTCGATCTCTGGATAGGAAATATCCCCCTGGATGCGGGAAAGGCAATCCATTCCAGTATTCTTGCCTGGAGAATCCCAGGGACAGGGGACCCTGGCAGGCTACAGTCCATGAAGTCACAAAGAGTTGGACACAACTGAATGAGCATGCACAAGCACATATCTAGGATGTTGGTTGTTCAGACTAAGGTCTGCAGCACCAATTGTTTTCTTCTTAATAAGGTCAAACCACAAAATTCTAGTGAATTTCAGAAAGAAGTCTTTCCTTTTATCTGTATATTGACTTAAGCAGTATAATTTCTAGGTTTTAGGATTCTATTAAAAATGTACTGCTATTACAGAAAAATTATCTAAAAAGAGGACATATTCTTTATTGAGTAGGTTTTGCTTAAGGGCACATTTCTATATTAAAAATGAGAACAACTATGGTAGGGTTGTGAATTTTCAGCCACCCAAAATTTTAAATTACAGTAACTTGATTGAACCATATTTTTATAAGATTTGTTAAGGATAGGAAATGTTAGGTAAATGTCAATTACTGTACATTAAGTAAACTACTTCCTTTATTTCACCTAATAAAATAAAGTTTAAAGGTTTATAATAAAATTTCAATGTAATCTCGGAAAACCTGAGGGCATGCAAGAAACGCTTGAGAAATACTTCTGAAGAATAATACATTTATAGAGCAATTTTAATGATAACATGCACTCCTTCCCCAATTTAAAATTGCTATATTCCATTGCACAATACCTATGCATGTAGGAGGGTCTGGTTGCCAAAAGAATCGGTTATTCAGCTGCACACAGGTGATTTTAGCTTGCCCTTGGAGCTGGTACCCAGGGTCACACTGGAAAGTGATGGTGTCCCCAGGTTCTCTGCTGTCCCCGTAGCGGGTACCGTTTTGAGGCATACCCGGGTCGTTGCAGGTGGATGCAATGGATGCTAGAACAAAGGGACAACACCACATTAGTGACTGGAGACGTGATCCCTACACTGTTACAAATGTACAGCCCTGTGGCTAAAGCACTCTTGATCGGCGTAATGAGTCACTTGTCCACATGTGAACATCTTGTTTATTTTTCCCTCAAGAATATGTTCGATAACTTGCATCTTGATTATGCTTCCTTTGAACAGATGCTAGAAAAATCCTGATGAAAATTCAACCAATTATGGAAAATATTAAGGATTTATATGATGCTATGCACACATACTCATTTCCCTTTGATTTTCTCAACAATATTTTAATGAAAATATATGTCACAATTTAAATGATTTGAGAACCCCCATCTCAAGGAAACTTGAGGAAAATAAGATAGGATACATTCTCTTTGGGTTGATGCCTTCTCATGGGACAACAAGCTAAGATGACCCAAACCCTCTTAAACTGTTTTGTCCAAAAACACCTTTAGTTCTTTAAAAATATTTTTAATTCTATTTTAATCTAAAGAATATTTTTACTAAGCTTATACTTCAGGATCAATAGTTGTTTCTGTCCTCATTTCCCCCTCACTGCTGTTAATGTATTACAATTTTCTGCTTTCCAGTTTTCCTACTTAATCTCACAGTCTGAAATGACTTTAAGATCACTATCTTTGATGTCCTAACATTTCACAATATGATGTCTATGCATGAATTTCCTTATATTTCTAAGGAAATAAAAGTTTTGCAATATCATGTCTATGAATGAACCTCCTTTTATTAATCCTGCTTGGAACCCAGTCAAAGTTTTAAATCTGAAGATTAAGCAACTATCTTATCAAATATCAGTTCCCTCCTATTATCTGTACTCCCCTCTGATGAATTAAAATTTGACAAATGTCTCTATCATTCGTGTCTCTTAACTTTTCATTTTTTTAAAATCTTTGTTCCATCTTCTAGGTAATTTTTTAGGCCATTTTCCTATCATAATCTTCTCTCCATCTGCATCAAATTTATTATACTATCATGTAGTTGAGTTTTAAACTTCCTTTCATTGTTTCTCTGCTAGCATTTTGTTCAAACATCTTTGGCCATTTATACAGTGTTTTGTTTCCTACTCATAATTTTATTCACTTTTGTTTTTTACACTCTTACAGTCTTATTTGATAATAATTCCAATATCTCTCAGAATCTAAGGTGCCTCTGAATTTTGCTTTTGCTCTTCTATTTCTGGAACTTCACCTGCAATAATTCTTTTGAAGGCGCGTTTATGCAGAGGCAATTCTCAGTTGACTTTCCCATGTGCCTGGAACAAGAGAAGCTTTCTACCTCCTTAAAATAAAGTCTCTGCTGAGGCATTTTGGACCATAGAGATGGCACAAATTCATCTATAAGCTAGTCTGAAACCTGCTTGTGGTTATGAGTTCTCTGTCCCTGTGTCTATTTCTATACCTGTATCTATATCCATGTCTGTCCATCCATCTGTCCATCTGTCTTTACCATCTAACTTTTCTCCCTTGTAGTGACAGCAGACCTCTCTTTGGAGTTCTAGCAGTGTGTAAGTGGATCTGATTATATTTCCTATTTTGAAAAGCTCTCACATATTTCTTCCTATCTTTCAGCCCACAGACTCTCAGAAACAAAATTCAGTCTCACTAGGGTCCTACTGACAGATGCTTTCAGGGGAAAGTAAAGTGAGAAAGTCACCCAGTCATGTTCAACCTTTAGTAACCCCATGGACTGTAGCCCACCAGGCTCCTCTGTCCTTGGAATTCTCCAAACAAGAGCACTGGAGTGGGTTGCCGTTCCCTTCTCCAGAGGATCTTCCTGACCCAGAGACCGAACCTGGTTCTGCTCCCAGGACAAAGCCAACCCCTTAATTTCATGGCCTTTCTGTAAATCACAGTACTTTGGTGACTCTGAGAATCCCTTATTTTCTTGCAGTTTCAGTGATACATTTTAAAAGGCTAAACTTAACCATATCCAACACCTTTGGCATATTTTCAGTGGCTATGTTTCCAGAGAACTTACTTTACTGTCATACTGGGTATTGCAGACCCTCCATTTTAGACCTTAATCCCACTGCATGAAGGCTGGCTTATCCTGTCATCATTGCCACCGTAATTATTAGTGTTTTGAGTAGGGGAATTTTACTTAAAGGAGAGTTCTCAATAGGTATCAAAAAAGAGTAGGTTTTTCAATGGGAAGAAAGTAGGAAATGCTGAGTCAGAGCCACTGAGAAAGACCCTTTCAGCTTCCGCTCTCTCATCAGCTGCAAAGATCAGCAGGCAAGACAGAAAGCAAGCACATTTCCCTGAAAGAAGACCAGTTCAGCAGTGGAATGCAGGATGGACCTGAGGACACAAAGCTGCTAGTTAGGATGCCAGGAGTGTCACACCCATAACCCACAACTTTCTACAATAGAGAACAGCAATTAGAGAATTCAAGCACTGGAATCAGAGCCCACTGTGGCCATCACCTAGGCAACACAATGCTGCTTCCATGGAACTAGTATTTTACAAGCGATCAATCTTGAGCTTACTACTTGAGTAACTAAAGAATCTAAGATCTAACTGTGCTCTAGTGTTGTTGAGATTTCTCTGGGCTTCAGGAAAAAACCATAAGCAAATCCTGGTGTACATCTGCAATTGGACTGAATTGCCCATTGGACTGAATTTCATATCTCCGAAAGAAACTTCATTCTTTACTCAAGCAAGTGGTCACATGGATGATTACATACTTATTTCCAAGTGAGAATTAATTTAATATAGCATCAAAATAATTTAAAAATAAATAGTTAGTATTAAAAGTTAATTGTGTATTAAGCAAAAAGATCAAACCAGTCAATCCTAAAGGAAATCAACCCTGAACATTCATTGGAAGGACTGGTGCTGAAGCTGAAGCTCCAATACTTTGGCCACCTGATGTGAAGAGCTGACTCACTGAAAAAGACCCTGATAACAGAAAAGATTGAGGGCAGGAGGAGAAGTGTCAACAGAGGATGAGATGGTGGGATGGCATCACCGACTCAATGGACATGAGTTTTGAGCAAACCCCAGGAGACAGTGAAGTACAGGGAAGCCTGGCGTGCTGCAGTCCATGGGGTTGCAAAGAGTCAGACATGACTTGGCTGACAACAGCTCTTAGTAAATATCCATAGTAATACTTCTATGATAAATAAGTACATAGTACTAAAATAATTTAAAAATAAATCTTTAGAAAAAAAGTCAAGGAGATCATCGATGAGCCTCATTGTAATGTTTTAAAAGAGATATGGTTTTATTACTTCTCTTTTCAAATTTTTATTCAATATTCATTAAAAGCAAAAACACATTATTCAGTAAAGAAGCTTTACACAAAGATGCACAGATTTTGTACATAAGAAGAATTTCAAAAGACACATGAGCTTGCAAGACAAGTGTTCTGCAGAACACTTTTCTGTGGGTTATTAATAGGTGTCTGGTCTAATAAGACTAGCAAATACCACATCCTCCAAGTCCCTCTTGCAGGTCTCCTCTGTATATCAGGGATTAAAGGCTCAGAGAACAAAGAAACTTAAAAAAGTAATTTAATACAGTGCATTCTAAATAAATGTAATTATAGAGCATGTTTTCTCCATAGACCTCTTCAAATCCTCCCAAATAAAGATCCATAGAATATCAGTATACAAAACAGTGGCTTGCACTAAGGGTTATATGTCCTTGAATGGGATGAAATTTAATCCAATTTTCAAAGAGTTTTCTACTTCTAAAGCAAATTCTCACTTGGAATATGTATAATAATAATAATAGAGCATGGCATTAAAAATTTATGTACTCATGTAGTTCATATTGTATGAACTATAGCATCTATATACTCAACTGGAAAATCAACAAAAAGTATGAAAAAACAGAAATGCAGCATCTACATAATTAGCTAAACTTACGCCAATTACATGAAAATCTGAGTTGTAGTAAAACGGTTCTACACATGGACTTAGTGGGGAGGTCTTCACATAGCTTGTGTATCTTTGAAAACTGAGATTTCCAATAAATGGATCATGAAGGCTTAGCTGAATTGAACCCCAAACTCTTATTCTTCCCTTTTAGAATTACAAAATAAAAATAAAAACTTCCTAGGGTACTCCAGGTTGGATTAGAAAACAAAAAACAAAAAACAATGAGATGACATGAGGAAAAAACAAACAATTTAAAACAATGCACTGGGGAATATGTTGGCTGGATTCTTTTTAAATAAACACCATTTTATTTCCCCTAGTTACTCATTGTGGAAAAATGCTTTCTGGTAATGACAATAAAGCTTATTTGAAGATTAATATGGGAGCCAACAACCAATGATATTTCTTTAGGGTCAGAAATTGCTTTTCCACCTTCAGGGTCAGAGAGTCATGGATGTGACATGCACTCATTTCCTTTTCATGACTGTATTCTTTTATGTGCCATATGTTTCTTTCACTCAATTTTGTCTTAAATATTTTTTTTCTTCAAACAGGATTTTAATGACTGAATCTTTCCAATTTTTTTCCATAAAAAGGCAAACAATATTTTTAATTGCATCAGTCTTATCCTCCTATCACCTGAGAAGAAGATCCTATCCCTGAGGCGTGTATATTGTGTTTTTCAATTTTCCCAGGCAGGGGTTCTCTAGAATATTTCAAGTCATATAGAATCTTCCACAAGCCTAGTGGGATCTAAGAGATGTCTCCACTCCTTGCCCCCTGAATCTAGAACCACTCCAATAGGCTTGATTGACCCAAACCTGTGCTTCACTTAGCATAAAAGCCAGGGACCTGATGCTTCGTTTGTGCAAGGTGGCAATGATGATGTAGAACCACTGAATCATGAGAAACACAGTGGACTCAAACTTATTCCCAATTGGTTAAAGTCATTTTTGACACTGGAGGCTGTATAGAATATATGCATTCAAAAATAATGTGCAAAGTTGTGTTCTCTTTCTATCCTAACCAAAAAATTGAGCATTTGGACCATGTCTTATTAAATGTGTCAAATCCTCCTGCTTTTTTA